GTTCGCTATCCTGCCAAGATCTGCTTATTTATTCCCTCCCTTCTGCTTTTTATATTAATTGCTGCTTTAAGTTAACTACAAAAGGCTAGCCGAGCTTCCGCACCCGGCCATTGTTTTTGCTTGTTTTTTGTTTTGTTATTCTCTTCCCCCCCTCCACGCTCCTGCCCACCCTTTCTTTCCAATTGAATCTCACAGCGTTCCCTCCTGTGCTTTCCCGGGGTAACAACACTCCTTGTGAGATGGAAATCGAAGGCATTTAACGATACCTTTATTATAACTCCCACCCCACCCCCACCCTCCATTTGTGTAGCTGTTAATTTCCCTTAGACGTACCTGTGGGCTATAATTTCATAACCTTCCAAGTCCCAATTGTACACCGGAAAAGCATTTACATTTTCGTTCCTCTTTTTCCATTCGCTTTCTCTTGATTTCTGTTTCACAACTAGTAAAAAAAAACCAAACAAACAAAAAACCACCCCAGGACGCCATTCTTTATATAGAATATATTTCGTGTATGTACATATATACACGTATGCGTTTGAATATGTGTGTTACCAGTATATATCATGTGCCCCTGTTTTAATCAACAAAGCAGCTCATTTTTATGGACGGCCGATCTCAATCATTTTTCCCTTTGCTAAATTTGTAAATGGCTGGCTAGTTTAAAAATCACATTTTCCTCGCATGCCTTTAAGCAAAGGGCATGTTTTAAAACTGTTTGCAGTGGTGGGAAAATAAAGAACAAATCTAACAAAGATTTCACGCTCTCCTCTTTTTTTAAAGGGGAGGGCCATATTTGTTTGGTCTGTGTTTCCCATTAAAGTCCAGTAAAGGGGAAAAAACGTGTCCTTTAAGGGGCCATCGGTGCCAGGAAAGCCTTGGTGGCTAAGTTTAGTTTTTCAAAGAAAGCAAGCGAAATAAAACATTTCTTTTACTCCATACGAACATGCCTATGAACGATTTTATTTTTATTTTTTGGAGAGAGAGAAATCACAACCACCCATGGCTTTTCTTCTGCCAATAATTGTTAATAACGATCCATGTTGGCAACGTCAATGTTTTCTGCAGCAGAAATCTCCAGAGTTGCTGCTTTCCCTCTCCTTTGAAGTAAATGATTGCAAAGGGTATTTGCATGATTTGTCTGTGTGCATGCGGGGGGGGGGCACGTACAAACCAGTTGGCCTGTAAAACAGCTTGATTTTGACCTTCGTTTCCCCCTCTTTTCCTCCCTTATTATTCACCAGGACCGTCACGACGGCACCAGCAATGGGACAGCCCGTTTACCCCAGCTGGGATCTGTGGGTCAGTCCCCCTACACCAGCGCCCCTCCGCTGTCCCACACCCCCAACGCTGACTTCCAGCCCCCCTATTTCCCCCCACCCTATCAGCCCATTTACCCGCAGTCCCAAGACCCTTATTCCCACGTTAACGACCCCTACAGCTTGAACCCTCTGCACGCCCAGCCCCAGCCCCAACACCCAGGCTGGCCGGGACAGAGGCAAAACCAGGAAACGGGGCTTTTGCACTCGCACCGCGGACTTCCTCACCAACTCTCGGGCTTGGATCCACGAAGGGATTACCGGCGGCATGAAGATCTATTGCATGGACCTCACGGCCTGAGCTCAGGATTAGGAGACCTCCCCATTCATTCAATACCTCACTCCTTAGAAGACGTACCGGTAAGGAAACCTAAGCTGATCGCGTTTTTTTCTCTTCCCCTTCCACCATTCCTTACTTGGCCTTCTCTTTACTTCCCCGGCTGGTGGGTCCTCTTTCATATCTTTCCACCAGCACCTCAGCTAGAAACACCCGACATCACCATCTTCCTTCTTGGCCTCGGTTCCCGCGGGTGGGCTTGGGTGGGGCGGAAAATAGCAAGGTAGAACCCGATTACACGGACGTGGTTGGTAAAGATTTGGTACCCGACGAGGTAAACGATGGGAAGACCGTGTAGTAGCAGACGGAGGTCCCAAGGCCCCCCTGCAGCTGCTGGGAAAGCAGAGAGCGCTCTCCCTAACTATGCCCGAGGCTCACGAAGTCCGTTTCTGACTCTAGAGGAGAGGTTAGAAGGATCGTGAGCAAAACGAAGTGCGAAGGCGAAGAACACCAGTTGTTGAGGACTGCAGTATTTGGTCGTGGTGTGTGTGGAGGAGGGTGCGCCTCTCATAATGAAAATCTAGCAGGGCGGCTGGAAGAATAAAAACACAACTAAACAATATGCCCGAAAATAAAATTCAGACCTGCTTTATTTTTAGCTTGGAGGAGCTAGGTGGTAACCTATGAGCTGAGATCTGTGTTCTGGTTTATGTGTTGATGCTGACGTTTATTTAGCTTTGCTGCTCAGTATGGTCTCCTCCGATTTCTTGTCTTGGAATGGCCTTCGTTCGCCCCGGTGATGCTCGCGGCCGAGGAAGGCCATTGTCTTTGAAAGCACAAGGACAAGTGGCCCTCCAAAGTTTTCTCTCGCTCCCGGCTTTCCTAGGGAAAAGAGAATTCGGGCAGGCCGGTTCCTTCCCGTAAGCTTCCAGGTCCGGTCAGATCAGGCAAAAAGCAAATCGTTTGGGAGTGAGGGTAGAGGGAGCGAACAATATGAGGATGCGATCCCCGCCCCGTTCTTGTTGTTGTTGTTGCTGCTCAAATGCCATCCCAAATTATAGGATCAAATACCATAAGAAAAATATCCGCTGACAGTTTAACGATTTGCCATTTCATGTTGCAAGAGTAATGTTCCAACCGGTTCCCTAATCTGGAGTTCGTTGGGAAACCCTCTATTTCTTTATTTCTTCACTTTTAGCAAGTCTTGCATGGGGGGGGGGTAGTGCCGGGATGGATAGGAAATGCAGGACAAGGGAGTTGCTTCTGACTTAATCTGCCCAGGAAGATAACCGGTGATGCTCAGCTGTGCAACAAACGCATGGATTCCTTGGAAGACCGTGTCTGGTAGTGGAGAGAAAGGCTCTTTCTTTTGATTTGAAAGTAAAGAGCAAAGAACTTACAAGGAATAATGAGCAGCGACCAGGATTCCAAGAGCTCAAATCCATACATACCTTCTTAGGAGCAGGTCCCACTAAACACAGTGGGGATTACTTCTGAGTAGGCATGTATACCATAGCACCAGTAGATGTGCGCTGGAAGAAAGCTCCCTTTATAATCAAACAAAACGGGTCCAGCTGAAACCAAATGCGACTTCTAAGCACGTGTGTTTAGATATCAGGATGTAAACTAATTTAATGTTAGCGGCGGTTTCAGTTACTGTGAGAAACCTGAGTTGAAATAGTTCCCTTTATTTATTAGAATTTCGTTTGTTTTTTAAAAAATGATTTAAGAGCGAAAATGTACCCAGCGTAATTAGCACTAAATGCGCTGTTGTTTTTTCCCCCTTCCTGGGTATCACTATCATTAAAAAAAAAACACACACAAAACAAAACGAGTGGCACAACTCCTTGAGGAATATCTTCCCTCCCCCTTCGCTTTAGCCAGATCCTGCACTTCTGTCGAGCGCTTTAGGCAAGGTAGCACCATTAAATAGATACAAGTCCTTACTGTGACAATCGAATAATAGAACGCCTGTGATGAGAAAGGAACTCTTAAACGTAGTTGTTCTCGAGCAGGGTGTGGGTTGGAGGGTGAAGTTCTTTGGAAAGGAATCTGGGTCAAGGAAAAGGGTCGTTTCCCATTTTCCCCCATTGCTGAGGTACTTAACCTTTCATAGAACAGCGACTGCTCGGTGCGGAAGACATGCTAAGTTGAGGAGGGTGCGAATTATTTAGGCATAAATATCTCGGCGGGATTTTAAAACCTTAACAGTCGGTGGCTGGCTTGGACTGCATCTAGGTAAAGAAATCAGACAAATAAAAATGTTACGCCCCACTACGTTCACTTTATGAGTTTAGAGGGCTGCCTATTTGAAAGGGATCATATTTCCCCATGTAGTTAAAAAAAATTCAAAGGAAACTGCAGCAGTAGTCATTTTTGAACATTTCTCAATTTAATTATTCTCAAATCCAGAAGCACTTTAGGCAAGTTACAAATGAGAGCATTGAGTACAATAAAACCTGTAATAAAGCAACTTCGTACCATCCACCCGGAATCATTGAGATCAGGCACAATTAACAGGAGCATAAATCCAAGGCAGAATGGAAAATGTTAGACTCGGTATTATTGTTGGACGGAGACTAGCGAGGGAAAGGGAAGGAGTCTGGGTATCACAGCGGGTGTGCTTGTGCGTCTTTCAAAGGGCAGCACCAGCATTTTGTAGCACGGTTACGGGATTTTGTATCTCCGCTGCGCTACCGCTAATTTGTAAACACCGGCAGACACATTAGATTGACGGTCAGGTTGGGAATTCGAAAACACAATCTTCATTTTACTTTCTAATCACGTTTTGAACTGGAGCACGCGCCTGCCGGCGCCCGCGCACACAGAAACCCATCTGGAGGAGGAGGAGGATCAAAACGAGCAACAAAAACTGCCAGTGGCTTTGTACTTCCAAGCCAACCAGCCAGTGTAGGTTCCCTCCTCCAGTCTGCATTTACCCCTTGGAAGGGCACAACTGGGTTCCCCTTTTCTCATCCCTGCCTCCTTCCAAACTGATCATGTCCACTTCTGTTTCTCTTACCCGCTCTGGCTGCCATTGCATTTTTGTCTTGTGCCCAGAGGCGGCATAAAATCGTCATTTTGGAATCTCATGATTATTTTAATCACAATTAAAAGAAAAGAAAATAAATACTGAGATGGAGCGGCTGGAACACTGAACACGTGAAATCCTATACACTCGGGAATTACTGCGCTGAAAACCTTATGGTTTACTTTCAGGAAAACATACAGTACATAGAATTATTATGCCTCATGGCTGCTAATCTAACCTATGTACCTTTACTTAGGTTCTGCCCATTGAACGCAGAGGCATGATTTGTAAGTAAACATTACTGTGTTCTCAACCCAAGCATGGAAATAAGTTGGAGTGAAATTGGTGAGACGTTCTTCATGTGAACATAATTAAAACTGGATTGTTAGTATAAACCTCCAGCAACCTAGCCATCCCTCTCCCACCCCCCCTAAATGATTAGACTGAACGGGGAACGGTTGAAATCCAAAGGCCAGTATCCTATTGCTAGTCCAGCTCGAGAAAGCACGTCGATTCAGTGGGATTTTCATAAGTGTTGGTTTACCGTTCAGCGATAAGATTTAATGGTTTTATTCTTAGTAGGAGTATGGTCTATGTATTTTTCAATCTGAACATGTTGACGCATCAAAATGATGCATGCATATATTTTTACATACTCTGGTAGAAGAAAGAAAGAAAGAAGCTTCATGACACGTTTCTTCTGGTATGTTTAAGCATTCACATCCCTCCGTATTCCTTTTGTTACAGCACGTAGAGGACCCGGGTATTAACATCCCAGATCAAACTGTAATTAAGAAAGGTAAGCCATTTCCTTTAGCATTCCAAGCATGTCCTCACAAGCTTGGTACTGTTGCCGAGAGAACTTGCTAAAGCTATTGTTTCCCTCCCGCTCCCCCTCCTCTCCCCCCCTCCTCGTCCTCAATGTAATTTACAACATGTTTGAAAATGGAAAACGAAATTGACGATCCTGGTTGAAAACAACCTTCTAGTTAATCCCAACCTCTGTGATTGTGTATTTGTGTGATTATATTATGTAGCTAAACGGATCCCGATTTTAGTTCTTTCTAATCCCATTCGTGGTTTAGAAATGACTTCTAATTTCTCGAGTTCCACTAAAATTATTTTTCATTACCAAAGAAAACAGCAATCCCTTACCGTTGCCAGTCACCCCCCCCCCACCGCGCTACTCCCGACTTCAGGTTTATGAGATTGTTCTGGATTGTTTACATCAGAGGGCTTTGTTGTAACAAGCCAGCAAGGATGGCGGAAGGGTAGTACGTTGGTGTGCGCTCTCCGAGGCGGCGATTTCTATTTGGCTTTCCCCCCACCCTTTCCCCTCCGAATAGCAGAGCATCGGTTGTTGCTGCTAGTTCCTCCTAATGGAGTTCTGTTTTTGTGTGTGTCCAGAAGATAGTGTTCTTATTTACCATCCTCTTCCAAATGGCTGAGCAAGGGAACTGTGGACAAATATTGGATTATTATTATTATTGTTATTGATTTTTGTTCAGAGATGGTTCCTAGGTTCGGCAGGAAAGCAAAACGATTGCTTCCTTTTTTGAGTCC